ATTATCTTTCTGTTCTTGGGTGGTCCTGCTTCTAGCACCTTCCTGAGCTCTTTATAAGAATAGGTACTTGAGGGCCTCCCTAATGGCACAAGGGGTTAAGACACAACCTATGAAGCTATCCACAGCCACTGCAGCACAAGTTCAATCCCCGGCCAGGGAGGAGACCCACATGGTGCAGCAGACCCCTCCTGTCTCACCCACTGATCCCCTCAGCAGTGTATTTCAGTCATTCCACCTGTTCTGTTCCCTACTCTGTCTCTGGTGAATCCTCTCACCCCCGTACCTCTGGCCTGTACCTCAGTTCTTGTATACATAAATGAATAAATCTTTAAAAAAAAGAATAGGTACTTGATAAGCATAAAATCCATACCTGTCTGTAAAGGTAGGCTTCACCTCCAGAGCTTTGCATTTCAAATGCCCCTGCTGCTCTTCTCCCTTTCTTTAATCTAATTTCCTACCAGATTTCAAGGAGCTCTCTCTAGCCTCTTCACTATTCACCTTGGATGTACTCTCCATCCTATATATTAAGCCAGTCCCCTTGCAGATATACGATAGTTGAAGCTCATGAAGACAAAGAGGATGGTCTGTGTTGCAATCTTCTATGGCCCTACCTGGTGATCTGGTCCAGTCTCTCTCTCATCTCCTGACCTGCCTCCCTTCTCCTCCCTGGGAAGCCCCAGCTGCCCTGACCTCCTTTTGGTCCCTTGAACCAGCACACTAGCTATTGCCCCAGGTGTTTCGTACTGGTGCTTTCTTCTCCCAGGAACCCTCTTTCATGGATCTTTGCAAAACTCCTCTCTTTTTATCATTCATTTCTCAGTTCAAAAGTCACCTTCTCAGAAAAGCTTTCCTTGACAAAATTCTATGGAGACTCCATCTGAGGGGGTGGGGGGAAGCAAGTATTGTTTAAAAAAATAAAAAAATTAAAAATAATAAAACATGTTTATAAATAAGGAAAAACTTTCCTTGACAGCCACTCCCAGTTAAGCTCAACCTTATTTCTCAGATTTATTTTCTTTCTAGCATTTACTTCTGCACCAAAGTATCTTAGATGTTTGCAGTTTGTCTCCATTTCCCCTACCACCCACTTCACAAGACACATCACTGCTAGTCTGCTCCCACATCCAGCACCAGGAACAGTGCCTGGCACATGGGGGATGCACAACATTGGGGGGGTGGAAGGAATAGAGGAAACTGCTCCTCCCCCAATGCTGCTGTTCACTCACATGGCCTTGGCTCTGTGATGCTGACCATGACGTGCCCTGCTCTGGTGTGAGTGCACCGAAACAGCTGTAGGGCAGTGTACCTCTTCACAGGAAAGGGGTACCTGCAGGAGGATTTCCGTTTGGCTGGGCGGGAAATGGAAGTCAAGAGGAAGTCAAGAGGAAGTCAAAAGTTTAAGTGAGAAGGAGGAAACAAAACAGGGACAGAGCTAAGCAAAAAAAAAAAAAAAATTAGTTTAAAAGGTGGGGGATTTCAGGTACGATTTCTGGAACACTAAACTTGACTGGTTTTCACAATAACCCAGCTGCCACGAACCTGGTGTGTGGTCTTAAGTCCACCCTTGGGCTGCTCTGAGCTCCAAATGCCAGTTATAAAACCAGGAAGTTACAAGTCCCTCTAGTCCTTTCCGGTGACTTTTCTTTAAAAGGGGAGCCCCTGGAGAGTATGGGCTGTCCTGAATGTAGATACACCTGGGGCTACCAGGCAGGGGTTCCAAATCCCACCAAGAATAAGAAATGCCTTTACCTTGGAAAGGCAGCAAGAAGATTCTGAGCTGCCTGAGGAATAAGCTGGTCTTCTAGGCCAGCAAGGCCACAGCAGTCACCTGTTTTGTCATATTAATATGTCTGAAAAAAAAAAAATGTGTCAATTCAGGGGGCCTGGATGTTTCCTAAGCTTGGAAAGGAGAGGCCAGTGGCAGGCCTGGCTCTGCTCACAACATGGGCCTGGAGGAAGGGCCTTTTCACTCACACCTAAGCTCCGATGGAAAGGCAGCCTCCATGCAACATGAGCATAGCCAAAGGCCTGGCTAATAGGCTCTGAGTATTTTCCAGATGGTTCTGAGTCTAGACTCTTTACAGCTGGCTTCAAGTCTGGACCCTGCATTTAGTATTTACATGACTGAGGCCACTTATTAAAACCCTATGTCTAAAACTTTTTACCTGTGAAATGGGAGTGGTGATGATACTACATATCCCCAAGAATTGCTGGGAGGATTAAATTAATATATGTAAACTACTTTAGATAGCAGCTGTTGTACAGGTTTCCCTCACCATTTGAAAGTAGAGCATTCTCATGAGACACTCTGTAAGCCAAATGGCATGAAGCAAAGAGCGATCACCATTAATTTACATGGAAAAGTTTTTGAGTGTTCCTAGCCCCTCCCTCAATAACCTGCCAAACCATACCAGATAACATGTAAGACCTACAAAAATACTGACAAAGAGGGGCCTCCCTGGTGGCGCAGTGGTTGAGCGCTGGGTTGCGAAGTTGCCCGCAGCCTCTGCAGCGCTGGTTCGATCCTGGACCACCGGGTGAGGGTCCCACATGGCGCGCAGACCTCTCCTGCTGCCCGCTGCTCCCCTCAGCAGTGTACCTTGTCAGTCTGCCTGTTCTGTTCTCCTCTCTGGCTCTGGTGAATTCTCTCACCCTCCTGACTTCTGACTGTACTCAGTGCTTGTATAAATAAAAAAATAAATAAATGTTTTAAAAAATATATACTGACAATGAGTAAAAGCAGGAATAATATGATAAATACACAGTCTATAGGAAGCAGGGAAGGAGATTAGTGGGGTCTAGACCCCAATTGCATCTTGATTCGGGTGTCACTGCTCCAGATGTGTGCATTGCCTCTCAAACAGCTGCTGCCAAATAAATGTTGAATGTTGTTTTCACTATTCCCCTTTTGTAGTACAAAGTGAAAATCCCCTCTGGATTTCTTTCTACTAGCAGTTAGTGCACCCAAATATTAATGAAGGTCTTTCACAAAAGCAAGTAGCCTAATGCAAACTTTCAAAATGTGGGAGTTACTGGTAATTCCAATAGCTAACCCTCTGCTTATTCAGTGTTTATCTCCCTGTTTCTAATGACAATTTCAACAAGCACTTTCCCACATAGGTCCCTTACACAGGAAATATGTACTTAATGCTTACTGCAGAGAGACTGAGACATTCCCATCCCTGAGTCTGAAATTCCTTATGGAAAATCTATAAATGAATTCTAGTTACCTGGGCCTCCCACATTGCTTGACCCCAGAGGCAAGATACAGGTGATGTGAATGGAGAATTTCAGTTCAAGGGTGACTCTGCTTGGATTTATGTATCATCACATTCATATTCTAGTGCCCGTCTCCACCTTAGTGTGTTGGATTAGAATTCAGACCCTCTCTTGGGCCCCAATTTCCCTGAAAAGTAATGTGTGTGTGAATCCTCAGCCTCTAAAACAGAGGGCAGTCCTGGCTGGTGTCCCTCTCGCCAGTGCTGGCCTGTGTGCCAGGCCCCTGTCTGATCCTGGGGCTGCTGCCCCTGATGTGGGTACCTTTACATTAAAGAATAAAGAGCTTTTGGAAAACTGAGAATTTAAACACATAGGAAAGGAGCAGAGCTGCAAGCAGAAGCATGAATCCAAGCCATCCCCCCACCGAACTAAAATGATTTCCCCTCCAAAACAAAGAAAAAAGAAAAAAGTTCAAGTGTTTTCATTCTCTTTTGTAACCCTGTCTGGATCACTGACCCTTTTGGAATTTGTCTGGGTTTTTAAGTCTTCTCAATGAAAAGGTGATGTCATTCTGGAAGAGCAAGACAGCATCAATGATGACACAGCAGTGGGGATAAGTTCTGTTAGATCTCTTGCCTCTTGACACCTTGCTGAGTAGGGCTTACCTTTAGGGATTTGCAGATTTGTGTGTTTCCCCTTTTTAGTTTTGGGGAAAAGACAGAGAGTGCGGTGGGAAGGAGCAGTAAATGAGGAGCACGAAACCCTTGGTGAGTTCCACAAGATCTGCTCAGGATGGAGAAGTTGAGAAGGTCAAAGACAAGGACTTGGCAGTTTCGGCTCTGCCATAGGTTATGTTGACCTTTCTGGATTGGCCCCGAAAGGTAAACACGTTTATAATATAGTTTCCCTGGAAAAGTGCAGCTTGAGCTCCAAATAAAACTCCCCCAGGGATCCTTTGAGATCCAACCCAACGCAAGGGACTTCTCAAATGTTGAAGTTTCTACATTGGATCTTGGGAAGAAAGTGAAAGTTGCAGGAAGCATTTGGCGTGGCTTGGGGGAGCAGGAGGGAGGCAGGTCACAAGCACTGAGCATAAAATGTGTTAGAGCTAAAAGAACATTTGTCTCTGGGGTCTGGGGCAGGCAGTGACCCTCTGGGAACCCCGGCCAGCAGAGACACCTCTCCAGAGACTGGTCAGAAAGATGGCCAGCGCTTAAAAGGAGGAACTTAGGGGCTGTGGTTCTTCCCTCTTGACTTAGATAACTCAGGGCCTCAGTCCGAATCTACCCGCGAGTTCTGGAGGCAAAGAGAGTCAGGTAAGAAGCCAGAAGGGGAACCCCAGGTAAGAAGTCAGTCCAGAACCCCAGGTAAGAAGCCAGTAGCCGAACCCGAGCCACAGCTCGAAGAAGCGAGTGGGGAGCCCTGGAACCAAACCCAATGGGGGTGAGGACCGAGGGCCAATTCAACCCCGGGTGCGACACGCAAGGAGGCTCAGGAGCCTCGCAGGAGGGGGTCCGGGCAGGGCGCGCCGGCCGGGCGGAGGCGCGTAGTGGGCGCCCGGGCAGCAGGGCGCGCGGAGCCGGGGGCCGGCGGGTGGGGAGCGGGCGCCGGGGAGGCCGTCCCTGCAGCGCCGCGGCTCGGAGCGAGGCGGGGAGGGTCGGGGCCGGCGCGAGGCGGCCACTGGCGGAGCCCGCGGCGGCTGGAACAGGTGAGCGGTCCCCGCCCTGCGCGGCGCGCAGCCTCCGCCTCCCGGACCTCCCCCGCGCGGAGCTGCGCCGCGGCTGCCCTGCGCCCGGGCTTTTGCCACTGGCAGCTGTTTATTACTATTACTATTATAATTTTTTTCCCCCTTCCTCTCCCCTGTTTCTATCTCTCCTTCTTCTAGGTCGCTCCACCCCGCCCAGCTCCGGCGAGGGGGACCTGGTTGCCAACTCGCGCTGAGCGCGCCCGGGACTCCCGGCGCCGACTCGCGCGCCCCAGCTCCGCCCTCGCCGCGCGCCCTCCCCGCGGCCGGGGGCCCCGCGACCTCCCCCCGCAACCCTTCCCCACTTTCCCCCGCGTTTGCCATCACATGGCGCGGTAAGAATGCCGAGAAGATGGCGGTAGCGCCTGCAGCCGCGGGGCCGGCGGGCGGGGGCGGCCGGGCGCCGCGCAGCGGGCTGCTGGAAGTTTTGGTGCGGGATCGCTGGCACAAAGTTCTGGTGAACTTGAGCGAGGACGCCCTGGTTCTGAGCTGCGAGGAGGGCGCCGCGGCGTACAACGGCGTCGGGACCGGCACCAACGGCTCGTTCTGCAGTGGCGCGGGCGCCGGGCCCCCGGGCGCGGCCGGCGCGCAGCCCCCGGACTCGCCCGCCGGGGTCCGCACCGCCTTCACCGACCTGCCCGAGCAGGTGCCCGAGTCCATCTCGAACCAGAAGCGAGGCGTGAAGGTGCTGAAGCAGGAGCTGGGCGGGCTGGGCATCAGCATCAAGGGGGGCAAGGAGAACAAGATGCCCATCCTCATCAGCAAGATCTTCAAGGGGCTGGCGGCGGACCAGACCCAGGCCCTGTACGTGGGCGACGCCATCCTGTCCGTGAACGGGGCAGACCTGCGGGACGCCACCCACGACGAGGCGGTGCAGGCGCTGAAGCGCGCGGGCAAGGAGGTGCTGCTGGAAGGTAAGGGGTTAACGCCGCGCGGGGCGCCCCGGGCGCGCGCGCACCCCGGCACCTCCGACCGCACCCTGCGCGCTCACCTGGGGGGCTGAGGCTGGGGGCTGGGGCGGTGGCATGGAGTTTTGCAACTTTTACCCACCCAGGGGCAACTTGATCCCGCCCTGGAGTCGCTAGTCCTGGCCTTGGCCCTGCGGGCGGGGCTCTGGAGTTGGGGGGGTCTGAGCTCCGACTGTGCGCCCCGCGGGGGTCGCATGCCTCGTGCGCGCGCTCTCACGTTCACCTGCGGGTGATCCACGAGTCGTGTGGGGCTGGGAAGTGAAAGTGGAAATGAAGGGTGGATGTGGAGATATTTACGGCCGCCTTAGGAAGTCAGCTCGCTGAGCAATAGAAACTGATAGTTTTGTGCCCTGGTGCAGCTTCATCTCCAAGCCCAGGCGGCCCAGGAATCCTAAAGGAGCCCGAGGAGAGGAGGTGGCAGTGTTTGATAAAACTCCCACCGGCCCTGACTTCACTCCTTTTCCAGAGGAAGAGGGCTTATGCCGGGAGGTGGTGCCAGGGCTGGGAACTGCTTGGGGTTTTAGGCAGAAGTTCACTTGTGCTGCCAGGTGTTTGGCCGGTCGGTCTGGATTCCAGGTTGCCCTGGGTGGAGGACTGCGGAAGTGATTTTTCTGCTTGAGTTTTTTGGGGTTCCCCCCAACTGCTGTGGAAACTACTTTGTATTTGTGAAGTTTCCCCTGCATCTGGGCCATCTTAGAGGCTGCTTTCCAGGGAGCTGATAGACCCAAGCCCCATAATTTTGGAAGGTGAAAAAAGTAGGTCACAGGGTTGTGGGGTTGTGTGCCCTTCTGTGGTGGTGTGCTGGGGTGTGTGTGTGCTTTGGGGTGGGGACAAGCAGCAGTCACCAGATAAGGTGCTCCCCTTGCTACTGCAGCTGCGTTTCCTAGTTTCTTATCTGCTCTCTGCCCTTCTGTCCTGAACTCACTTTGCACACACCTCAGTCAGCACTTAATATCGTGTTATTATTTTATTTGTTTACCTGACGTCACCTTCACCCTCACTCTGGGTTGAGTTGTCTGGTCTTTTATTTAGTTGTGCTTGCTCTTTTAAGAGCTTTGGTGTTCCCCGACATGCTGAGAGAATGAATCAAGGAACCCCACAGTCTTTGAAACAGAATGATTCAGCTGACACTTGTAAACTGGTGGATGATTTGAGTTCTAAGTGAAGCACTCCAGTCAGTATCCTCTCACTCGTGGTGGTGCTGGTGTGTGGAACTGAGGAAGTTCAGAGTTGGAAAGCTGACTTAGTTAACCTGGGACAGCTGATGCAACCCCATGGTCCACCTTCCTGGCCCAGATACAGAGCCCTCCTCCCCCCAACTTATTTGTCTAGAGGATTTGTGATGTCTTCATATTTAATTGCTGTGTTGGATCCAGAAAGTGGAAGGCTGTTTGCTTTAGCTTGATGATTAACATAAGTAAACAGTATAAAGTTTTCTTGACTCAAGTGTGTGCTGGTTTGTGTGACAAGGGCCAGGTTGGGATCTGGTACAAGTGTAGTTTGGACTATAATGTGCCGGACACCTGCTTATAATATTTCCTGTAAAACATCAGGGAAGGCAAAAGGGGGTCCTTATATTTCAGATACTGCCCTTCAGTATGTCTCTTCTTTTTTTCATCTTGGTTTCAATGTAAGGAATGATGACTTAGCAAAGACATATATATGTCTTATATATGTCCATATATATAAACTCTCACCCAGAAAGAAGAAGAAAAGGTGGCTCCTGAAAGTTAAAAATAAACGTGGACAAAGAAAAAAATATCAAGCAACTATATGAATCTTGATGCAACTGATGCAGTTGCTATAACAATTAGAAAGTGAGTTTTAGAAAAACCTCTGAGCACGTATTCTTACAGATGTTGTCATGTGTTGCAGGCAGGACCTTCCAGATATGGGGCAGCAATATTATTCCTAGCCTGAGTTTTCAGAAATCAACCGTCCTTCAAAGAAGCCAGTGGAGATTTCACTCAAAACAGTGTCTCTTATTCCTAAATGCAGAGGGTGTAATTATATACCACTAAATCAAGTAACAAACACTCTCTCTTTGTAGTTTGGACCACTACAGGTATTCCCAGCTGAAATGACTTATCAGAACCACCTATTCTGAAATGCAGTATTGATTCCAGAAATTCTGTGCAGGAGATGTTTTGTATATGTAACCTGATGGGATGAGAGGGTTAAGGGAGATATTGTAAAGATTTATCTATACACTTTTTAAAAGTTAGATTGTCTCCCCCTCTCTTTGTTGGTAGTAAGAGGGAACTGATAGAGATTAGTCCTTTCACCACTGCCAATCTGCACCCCATTACATGACATGCGCCCCCTCGTGGAGCGTTACCACCCCAGAACAGCGTGCCAATGCTTGGCTTCTGCTGCAATTATCTAACTTTCCTCCATCCCAATGTCTTCTTCTGAAATTGGGAGCTGGACATGCTTGTTTGACAGGGCTGCTGTGTGGAAGAGCCCCCTAAAATTTTTTTTTTTAAAAAAAAGCAACAGCAAATGCCTGCTGTGCTTATTTTTATAGCGCAAATGAAATGAGTATGAAATTAACCCTTCTAAGGGATCATCCTTTCCATTTTCTTTACAAAAATTGTAATTTCTAATTTTTACTCTATTTGACTTATTCTGGTACTGTAAAACTGTAATGTTAGCAGACCATTCCTCTGGGTAAAAAGAATCATAGCAATAACTAGTATTTCTCGAGCACTTCGTATTGCTGGGGTTTACTTGCATTTGTTGTGTTACGTGCTTCTAATAACTCCGTGAGGCTGATCCCATTGCTCATTTTATGATGAGGGCGCTAACATTTACACATAGGTTAGTTGCTTAAAGTAACATAGCTAACGGGCTTGCAGGTCCATCTGATTTCAAAGCACATACTGGTGACTTCTAGGTGAAACTGATGCTTAGAGCATCTACAAAACTGTGTACTTGAGTCAGCCGAGGCTTCCTCAGTTACTGGGCTAGAGATGTTCTTCCTCTCCCTGCAAATATGCTGAAATGATCGGGACAGCCCTGAGCAGGAGATCACAGTTGTATACCAGCTACTTGAATTGGAAGGACAGGAACGTGGAGGGAGCCTTTAAACCCCAATTCACCGAGTATGTGTCTGTAAGAGGGAGCGGCTGACATTTTCCCCTAATTTATAATGAGGCAGAGTGGAATATGGCCAGCAGGGAGACTAAATTGTAACTCAGACTTAAATAATGAAGCAACTGTGCCCATTAGGTGAGTATTTAACTAAAGAGTTATCAGAGTTTATATCAGAAATCTTTATACACCAACTCATATCACATTTTAGCGAGTGGGAATAGGGACTCTACATCAAGCCAGGCAGATATTGAACCCCATAACTCCAGGGGGCACTGGTGACATAGGCTGCCATGCAAATGACATCCTCTGGAGCTGGGCGGGGCACACCTGCATAGACTTTCTTGACATCTCTGGGTTGGGGGATGGGGAGGTTTTTGCCCTTAGATTAGTAGTAAAATCATAATTTGAAATATGTCAACTTTTTGTAACTGAAGCTAGAATAAAATAGCTTCCCTATACCTTTGTCAAGATCAAGGAGTAGGTGTTCTGGAAGACTCATATTGAGGTGTGAAGGTATAGGGTAGACAGAATCATCACTGGATTTACAAGGTCTCCTAAGGAACTGGACCAGAAAAAGTGGTCCACTTGACATTAACCCTGCCCCATCAAAGTTTCTCTCCCAGGACCACTCCCAGGGAGGTTGGCTGTTGAGGTCACCTGCAATGTCACTTTCACAGTCACTTTCTCCAGGGTTGGAAGTGAGAAGGCGGGGGCAGGAAGAGGGACAGAGAAAGGAGAGCAGTGATTTTAGTGGTCTACGAGCCTCAGGATGAGGTGAGATTTTGAACTTTAAGGAATTGTACATTTTTAGGTTTAATACGGTCATAAAAAATACCCAAGGGTCCTGCACTCAGAGTCTTGAAACTTGGGTTCTTATCTGTCAGCTAACAGCTGCACTTTCTACAAGATACTTTCTCTCTGTGGCCCTTGATTTTCTTCTTAGAAACCTAGCGAGCCATTCATGGACCAGTCTGTGTCACCTTCAACTCTGTAAACTCAGCGCCGGCACACTTAATAACACAATTTCCAACACCCCTTCTATTATCATGGATTCAATTTTATAAATAATATAACCCAACTCTCAACTTAAAGGAAATATAATGCCTTATTATGATTCTATTGTAAACATGAGTATTGTGGAGAAATGAAGTAAATTATCTTAAAAAGGTTCAATAGCTAAGCACGTGGCACAGTGACTCCCGAGGTCATAATGTAAGTGGCAGATACTGGGGACCCTTATGTGAAACCGCCATCCATGCACAGCCACAAATGAAGATGGGTAGGGGTGTGTGGCATCCCTTGGGGCCCATGAGGGACCTGCCTCAGATGTTGAAAGATATCTGAGATTCCTGGCTCCCGGTCACTGAACCCGAGGTGTATGGAACCCCTACTCCCCTTGATCTCTATTAAACCCTGTGCTGGTCTTTCATTGAGAACCAGTATTCTACGGGAATGCTAATTCTACCTTACCTCTCTGTAATGCCTAACCTTTTGCAAACTCTTTTAACGTATGTCAAAATAGCAGATACTTATATAATATTTGCATTGTGCCCAATGCTGTTCTCAGCACTGATCAAATCTTTGGGTTCTCACAAGAGCCCCAGGCTATGAGCAAGTCTGTTTACAGAAAACTGAGGCACAGACCTTTGTTCTTGCCAAAGAAACAGTAACAAGGTCTGAGGCTGAGGTTTAAGCACAGGCTTTATAGCTTTTGAGCCTCATAGACAGCCTATGAGATAAGAGGTTCAGGGCACTGGTCCTGACCTGGTTGATGAAGAAAGTGAAGCCCCAAAGGTGGAATGACTGGTTCTCATTAAGCTTCTCTCTGGTAGATTTGTTTTCTGTTGCTG